CCCGCCAGCGGCGCCGCGGCCGTCCCGCCGCCGGCGGGCCCCGGGCGCTTCTCGGTCAAGCACGAGTTTGAGGGCGCGTGCGTGCTGCTGACCGGGTGCACCGGCTACATAGGCAGCCTGGTCCTCGAGAGCCTCCTGCGCACCACCCGCGTGCGCCGCGTGTACGTGCTGCTGCGCGGCAAGCGCGGCTGCGGCGCGCAGGAGCGGTGCGACGGGCTGCTGCAGGGGCCGATTTTCCACATGGTGCGAGACAAGCCAGAGCTCCTGAGCAAGGTACGCCCGCCGCTGCTTCCTTTTACAACTCGGCAACCAGGGAGCCGCCCGCTACCCCGGGGAGATGGCCGCGAGGCACTCGGCACGCGGCAGAGCCCAGCGGAATGAATGCAGCCGCAACGGGCTCAGCCCTGATGACGGCCACCGGCCTCTTCGTCCTGTCCTCGCGGTCCCAGGCTCCAAACTCTCAACACCTGTCCGCACGCGCGCCCAGAAACCCCAAGCCCTCGGCACCCCCGCCCGGCCGCAGGTCGTCGCCCTGCCGGGCGACCTCGGGCGGCCCCGCCTCGGCCTCTCAACTTCGGAGGTCGACGCCCTGGCGTCCGAGGTTGACATCATCATCCACGCCGCCGCGGACATCCGCCTAGAGGCGCCGATCCAGGAGACGCTGCGCGCCAACTACATGGGCACGCGGCGCGTGCTGGAGCTTGCGACGCAGCTGCCTAGGTGTGCGGCGTGCCCGCACCCATGCGTGCCACCTCGCGCCTCACGCCAGCACAGCTTCCTTCTGCCCTCAGCCTGGGGACCTGCCTCCACGTGGCCGCACGTTTGCCCCTGCCCTGCCTGACCTGCGGTGCGCTCCGTCCCTGCGTGTTGAAAGCGCCAAACGCTGTGTAGCTTCAATCAAGGGACAAAGATCTTCGACCAACCAGTCACCCCGTCATCCCACAACAAGCACCCTGACACCCAGCACCTCTGGCCGCCCGCAGGCTGCGCTCCATGGTACACGTCAGCACTGCTTACGTCAACATAAACCACCCCCACGGCGCCACCGTGCGGGAGCGGATATACCCCCTGATGCACGGGGAGGTGGAGGCGGATGGGGAGCGCATCGCAGAGGTGCGTGGCCGGGGGGAGGGCAGGGGTCAAATCCCCCCAGTGGAAGAGGGGTGGCTACTGGGCAGGTCCAACGGCACACAGCTGCCCCTGGCTGGTGCCTGCAACTGTCAGCGCATGCGCCTTGCCGCCCTTGCATAAAAATGTGTCACATGCGCCTCGCTTGTTGCTGCGGCGAGTAGACCTGAGCCATCTTCACATCATGCGCATCTGAGACGTACAACCCTCCGCCTTCCAGCCACCAAGACCACTTCAAAGCAAATCACCCGATCTCCCTTTTGCACACACTTGCACACTTGCACACACTCACACACACACACTCACACACACACACACACACACACACACACGCACGCGCGCGCGCATCCACAGGAGCTCCTCGCCCTGCCCCCAGTGCTGGCCGAGCGCCGCTCCGACTTCTACCGCCACCACTTCGGTTTCCCCAACACCTACTGCCTGGGAAAGCACCTGGCAGAACAGATGGTGGCGCGCGCCAAGGCGGCGGCGGGGCTGCCGGTCGCGGTCGTGCGGCCGTCGCTGGTCACTGGGGTCGCGGGGCTGCCCTGGGCGGGTGAGAGGGGTTTCCCCGGTCGCTTGGAGCTGAGCTTCGAACCGCAGGTTGATAGGTGTGCGCGGGCAGCTTAGCGGGTTGCTGCGGCGGGCAGCAGGCCATGCCTGGTGTGGAGGTTCTACCAGATACGCCAGCTCAGCATCGTGCTCCTCGCTCCGTTTGTGGGTGCTGGCACCAAAGTAAAAGTCTGAACACTCTCAAAACGCCTCACGGCTCGCAGGGCACATCGGAAACTACGCCGGGCTGTCAGGCATGGGCGCCGCCACCGCCCTCGGCTTCTTCCCGGCGGCCTCTGCCTACGCCGTCAACCCCCACAGCGTGTGGGACGCGGTCCCCGGGGACCTCGTGGCGAGCGCAATCCTCGCCACCGCCGCCGCCGTCGCGGCGGGGCTGGCCCCCGCGATCGCGGCCGCCGCGGCCGGCGGCGCACGTGCAGAGGCGGCGGCGCCTTGGCGCCTGACTGAGGACGGCGCCGCGGGCGCGGCCAAGGCGCTGCACGGCGCGCCTCGCGTCGCGCGGCGCGTGAGCGACTCAGGCTTCTCCGACGACTCGGCCATTATTGTCGCGCCGCCCCGCGGCCCCCCCAGCGCCAATGCGCTGGACGATGGCGCGAGCACCGCGCACCCCTCGTGCCCGCCCTCGGCGGTCGGCGACGACGAGGCGCCGCCGTCCCC